CTTTAGAAGTTTTATTTTGCAGCAGCAGCTCTTTAGCCCAGTTCTTCAGCCAGCAGCATTAATCCTTGTTTTGTGTTTTGAGGTTTGATTCTTTGAAATTGAAGAAGCTATGAACTGAGACAAACTTCTCACAGCTGAAGTGTCTGACTGGTATTATCACTTACGGTGTTCTCTGGGACTTCAAACCACAGCTTTGCCCTTAATTGAGGCATTTTCTTGGCCACTGTCACTTTTGAACCTTGTAGGTGCTTAATATGTATTTGAAGTTCTTTATAAAATAAAAATAGCAGATGTCAAGTTCAATAGTTGTTGGGTGAAAATATGCACATACAATTATGTAAGGCTCATTTACTTGGGAGGAAATTCTTGGTTGTAATTTAGGAGGTAGTTATTTAATGAAAGAAACCTAGTTGCCATAGATTTTGCTGAAAAACTCTTAGAGGAAGTATGTGATTTGAACCATGGTATGAGAAAAACAGACAAAACAGCCTCTGCACAGCAAAGTTATTTACATTGAAAAGCAGCAGAAGAAAAACAGAGTTTAGTGATAACAGGTAACTTACCTTCTTGAGAAGTTTTAAGTATTTGGGGCTGCAGTTAACCTAGATATCCATATTGCTACTTCTGCAGATTGAATATGTTGACCTTGAAATGATGTCTTGGTATTTGTACTTCACTAGCAGAAATAGGTGGTCTTCATTTGGATGATGTACATTCACTTAAGTGCTGAAGGTTTCAAAAATTAAAAAATTAGTGGTTTTTTTGTGGTCCTGTTCTCTTGCCCACGCACACAAAATATTGCCCCTCTATGTTAAAGTTTGTAAGGTAGCTTGACTTATTATTAATGAGGCACAAGCTCTGAGCGTTATAGTATACTGATGACATTTAGCTCTCTTTCATGTAGTTCCAGCTGATTCAATAGTATAAGTCAGTCAGGAGGAAGTTTAAATAAGAACTGTGTCGGAGTTTTAACCAGTAAAAATTGAATTCAACTGCTGTTGGAAAGAGGAAGCAGCTAAAAGAAACTATGAGGTTTTGTATGAGAGGCCTGTTCTTGATAGCATATATTTATAGTTTAGGAACTTTGTTAAACATGAACCTTGATTTTTTTAGCCCTCAAAGGATTTTGCAAGTCATACTTTTTTTTTCCCCCTAGTCCTTGTGGAAGCGAAGACAGTAAATTAATATTTTCTCCACTGCTGTGCCTTTTGTTTTTCTTTGGGTGAGCTGATTATTGATCTTCAGTTGACTGATACAAGAATGCAGCATAGTTATATTGAAACATAGTAATATGTATGAGTTTTCCAGAACATGTGTATAGGTACTATTTGTAGTTTTTACATAAATTAAGTATCAAATTATGTAATGTTTCATTTTCCAGTGACCAAAAAAAAAAGAAATCTATCACTTACTTGTTCTTTCGTATGCTTGAAACTACACTTGTCTGAAAGGCAGTTGTGGAAACTTTCAGTTTCCCCCCCTCAACTGCCTAAAAGAAGAATAGTCTTAATTATTTTGATTAGCATAGTTTATTAAATCACGTGAGGTTTGCATGTATTCTTTCACAGAATGTTGAATATGGGAACCATCAGAAAACTAGTGTGTACTCTGGTATTAGATATGTTTCTTAATAGCTAGAAAAATGGTTCCATGCCAGAAGACTTCTTGAAAACTTGGCTAGAGCATTTGGATCTATTTTATAAAATTGGAGCAGTGTAAGCTGAGGAGCCTTAGTCCTCTAAAGCCTATCAGGTAGTTTATTTAGATTTCTAAGTACTTGCCAAGTCTTTAGGAGTTTAATTGGGCTGTGACTCAGTGCAGGTTTCATTACTGTAGTAATAGACACAGGGAGGGGAGCGCTACCTGAATAAAGCAGAATAAAATAGAGCTTGGAAGGTGCCTTTATTGCAGGTAAAAATTCAGTGTATTTTGTGTGTTCAAGTGAATTAAATACAACACCCAACATTTGTGTCTTTAGAGAGGTAGGAAGTGTGGAATCATGACAATCTTGATACTGTGCATGGATGGGTTTAATTTTAAAGGTTTCCAGCTAATCATCCTCTAAGGTGGATTTATAGGTTTTACCATGTATAAAGGAATCTAGATGCCTAAAAAAAAATTTGAATTTAAGTTCTGTAGACAGATTGCCTAGAAGTTAAATGCTTACATTCAGCCTGGATTCAGCTAAGACATTTGTTGAAGCTGACTGGGAAGGGGAAATCAGAGAATCACAGAATAACAGGGATTGGAAGGAACTGCTGGAGATAATCTGTTCCAACCCCCTTCCTAAAGCAGGTTCACCTAGAGCATGTTGCACAAGATCGCATCCAGGTGGGTTTTGAACATCTCCAGAGAAGGAGACTCCACAACCTCTCTGTACTCTCTTTTCCAGTGCTCTGTCACCCTCAAAGTAAAGATGATTTTCCTCGTGTTCAGGTGGAACTTCCTGTGTTGCAGTTTGTACCCATTGCCCTTTGTCCTGTCACAGGACACCACAAGAAAGAGCCTGTCCCCATGCTCTTGACACCTGTCCTTTAGGTATTTATTTATAAGCGTTAATGGGGTCCCTCCTCATTCTCCTCTTCTTCAAGCTAAACAGCCCCAGCTCTCTCAGCTTTTCAGCGTAAGAGAAATGCTCCAGTCCCCTAATCATCTTTGTAGCCCTCTGCTGGACTGTCTTCAGTAGTTCCATGTCTTTCTTGAACTGGACAGAGTACTCCAGATGTAGCCTCACCAGGACAGAATAGAGGGGGAGGAGAACCTGACCACACTCTTAATGCACCTCAGGATACCATTGGCATTCTTGGCCACTAGGGCACATTGCTGGCTCATGGTTAACTTGTCCACCAGGAGTCCCAGGTCCTTCTCTGCAGAGCTGTTTTCCAGCAGGTCACCCCCTAACCTGTACTGGTGCATAGGTTTATTCCTCCCTTGATGCAGGAGCCTACACTTGCCGTTGTTGAACTTCATTAGGTTCCTGTCTGCCCAGGTCTCTAGCCTGCCCAGGTCTTCCTGCATGGCAGCACAGCCTCCTGGTCTATCAGCCACACCTCCCAGTTTTGTATGATCAGCAAACGTGCTGAGGAGGGTACGCTCTGTCCCTTCATCCAGGTCGTTGATGAATATTGAACAAGACTGGAGCCAGTACTGACCTCTGGGGAACACAGCTAGCCACAGGCCTCCAACTGGACTGCACTGCTGATCACAACCCTCTGAGTTCTGCCAGTTCACCCAGTTCTCAATCCACCTCACTGTCCACTCATCTAACTCACACTTCCTAAGCTTACCTGTGAGGATGGTATAGGAGACAGTATCAAAAGCATTGCTGAATTCGAGGTAGACAATGTCCACTGCTTCTGCTGTAAAGCAACAGAAAGAGAAAATGTTGGTATTTCAGTATGAATTATCAAGATATTTTTATAAGGTTATTGGAAGGATGGAGATCTAGAATGTGAAGCAAATGCAACTGCTGTTCTTGTAAATAACTCAACTAGTCTAAGTATTAAAGCTCACAATGATGTTTCTCCAGCAGGTCACATCTACTTTGTGTTGGACACAGGAGGCCTATTTGTTCTTAAAAAATTGTTTATCTATGATCAGAAAAAAAGCTTTAAATAAAATAGGAATATTTCACAATACACCATGCAGTTTATATCCTAACTAAGCATAAGAATTTTGACTGAAAAACTATAGAAGTTAATCAGTTTTCTTTAGCTTTGAAAGCTTTTAATCATGCGGTTCTTTACTGTGTCTTGTCAGAGTAAGACTAGTTCAGAGAACTATCTTTTTATTAACTCTTTCACAGAATGCAGTGAGGTAATAATCACACGGTGTAGAACTAAAACTTTTTCTTACAGGTTTTTGTTTAGAATGAACAAACAAAAAGCCCACCTTTAGAAGTAGGCTGCTTGAGGGGAATTAAAATGACTTTCAGTTATATATTTTCCAAACTGATAACGTAATGCTGTGCATTTATATGCTGATGTACTGGAAGAGTCAGGCAGTCCTTCAGGACATTTTGTTAATTTTTTTTTTTTTTTTGCTATGTGGTTTTTAAACCTGAAGTGGGATGGTTGAGAGTTCTGTTTCAGTATTAAAGGATTGCATTAAGTCAAGGATAATGTTTGAAATTAAATCAGTTTTATATTTTCAAATGTTGTAGATTTTTTATTATTCTTTTTGTGTGATGTAACACAAATAATTATTTTTGGAAGGGGACAAGGAAAAGTTCTGCTTTTGTGAGACACTTTTCCCAGAAGTGTCACTACACAGCATCCTAAGGAATCATCTGAGGCTTTACAGAGCAGAAGGTAACAATTGCTCCATTGATTCTCAACAGGCATAGAAGCCTGTGGGCAGGACCCCCCCTTATGATCTGCCTGTAAAGGAACTATGCCTTTTTACTGGGGAGTTTGTTAAAGATTACCAGTCTTGATAATACTGAATTTCAAAAGCTAACTCTTTAAACTAGAAGAATAGGAGAAAGCAGTAACAATAGCTCAGTGACTGTGGTCTCATATTGTGCTTGCTTTTGTAACCCATACATCAAAAGAAAATTTCTCCCAGAAGGGGTGGGCTTGGGTGCACTGCTGCTGAATTGTATATTATATTTCAGCTTCAGGTTACAAAAACAACCATGTTTTGAAGTACAGTCAGCAGTAGGATGCAAAATATACCTCCTGGAAGGCTTCTGAATTTTTGTTGAGTCCTATCCTAAAGATGTTATAATTAGAAACATTGCTTTTCATTTTTCCAGTGCTGAGAAATTGCTTGTCGTTTGCTTAATTAGCTGCCAACACTTCAAGATTTTAAACTGGAAAACGAGAAATACAGACAAACCTAACTCTCCAGTTATATAGTACCACTAGGTAAAGGAATACTGAACTCAGATGGATTTTTTTTTTCCCTGTTTCCTTAAAATATTATACTTTTTTGCAACTGATTCAACTCATGCAACGATATTGATCATCTGTTGCTATTTTTTTTCCTCATAAAATCAGGATATGAATCCTCCACTTCCACCACCACCTCTCTTGTCTGCTGCAATCATCGCATCAGCCTCTTCTGGACCTCAGTCTGCAGGTGTAATACAAAGGCCTACATCAGGATCAACTGACCAAATGGCACATTTACGACCACAAACTCGTTCCAGCGTGTAAGTAAAACTTGAAACTTTTCGGCGGTCAGAAAAATGGAACAAGATCAATAACTTGACGTGTACTTATATCACACCAGCTGGCTATGTTCTGCTAGAATTCCCAGAAAGCCAAGCATACGACTCAGGGGAAAAAACCAACAAAACATACATAAAGGTGATATCCCCAAACAGCCTTCATGCTGAGGGTTATTTATGTCTTAGGTAAATATTAGCAGCTGTTGCTGTGTATAGAAATGACTCGCTTCAAAGATACAAAATATTTATCATGCATAAGATGAGTGAATCCTTGAGTTAGTGATAACTCACAACTGGCAAACTCTGGAGTGAATTTAGTCAATGTTGTCTGTTACGTATGGAATGAAAAGGCTATTCTCATATGGAATAACTTATGCCAAAACACGAAGTGCTGTGTTCATTTAGACTGTTATATTAGCATGTCACTGTCAGACTGCTTGTGTAAGTTGCAATTGAAATTTGACTGAAGATTCAACAGTTCAGTTAATTAGTGGGTGGCAATTTGGAATGAAGGCAGGAAGCTGCTAGTTAGCATTATGTCTTCACACTTGTAATACAAGCAAATATGCGTCATCCTCCTGGGTGAAAATATTTTGCATATTAATCTTTGTTGCTAACAACATCTTTCTTCTTAGAAACTTCTCTGTGTGCAACTTCGAGAATAAGAACAATGAAAGAAAAAATAACATTCAGGAGTGGCTGAACCGTCTAATAGGACATGTTTGAGTAAATCAAGGACTGCTTCTGTTTTGTGTCTTTGTTTTTATCTTCCCATGAGGTTTTCTCCGAGTCCAAAAGAGCACCCTTCTTGTATAGCAGGTGGTTCTCGATTTGGGCTGTTTCTTTGGTGTCAGGCATTTTAACACTGTTTCATATGGATTATTGTGCTTAATGCATTTAATCAAGTTCCCATTTATCACCATCCTCCATCTTGAAAGGGTTGCTCTACATGAGGATATTAATGAAATTTGTAATGATTTAACTAAAAGGAAAGTTAATGAACACCAATTAAAGCACATCAGTTGTTTGCTTATAGAGCTGCAGTATGTGGATTTGTAGATCACCCCGAAGTCATGTACCAGTGAAGCCTTTATTTGCCAGTGTATCATATTTTGCCTTTAAAACATATTTTAGACTTGCTTTATGAGGTATCTGTATTGCCTTTAAGCATTTTTGAAGATAATGCAGCATTTCCTGGGTAAACAGCAAGGAACAAAAATATAATGCAAGTAAGATAAGCATACAGTTAATGCTGTCATTACTGTGCTAAAGAGACAGTTTTGACAAGAGAATGTTTTGTAAAGACACTTTTTTACCCTTGGTGTAACAAGGGGAGTGGGAAGACAAGCATTGTAATTAATTGTGGATCCTTTTTCAAAAAAGGGGATATTCTACCCGTTTACCCTCATAGGCTACCTCTTGTAAAAGGTGTATTCTGTTTGAAAAAAATGTTATTTCCCATAGGTTTAGATCCATAATTATATAAACATTTTTATAAAGGCAGTTTAAACATTTTTCTTATATTCAAACTGAGGTAGAAGAGAGGGCATTGTGGTGGTTAAAGCAAGATTGCTTCTTAATGTGATAATAGGAAATTGTACAATCTTATTTGAACACTTCCCTAGGAATATTCCAGCATACAACTGCAGGAGCTTCAGTTTTATTTTTACTTTCTTTTTTTTCTAAGAATGACTACTTAAAAAGAAAAAATGCAAAATGTTTCTGAACTCTCACTATGATTTCAGATGTGCTGTAATACGCATTAGTGTTGCTTAGGAGGTAAAAAAAGAAATAACCTTTACAAGTGAATAACTGCTAGCTACCTTGCCCATACACTTCAAGTTCTAGCATTGTGTCTTTTCTTTTTCACATGCGGTTGCACACAAATTCCATTTTGCAGTGTGAAAAGTAGTTCTGATAACGATCTTTAACTCCCAAAACTTCTTGCTCCCCACCACTCATTTAAAAAAAAAAAAAAAAAGTTGGCATGTCACAAAGTGTAAGAGATACTAGAAGCAGGTGTAGGGAGAGATAAGCAGGGTATGCTGGGATCTATACCTGATAAACACCTGTTTAATTAAGTTCACTAACTTAATTAAGAAAATGAAAAATCTTATTGGAAGTATTATACATTACATTAAAGTGCAGTTAGAAGGATATTCTTAACAGTCATTGTTTCCCTTAATATCACCATAATTTCTATTTTAACATTGTAACAGTATGATGGATCGACACATAACACATAACCCTTTCTGCAGTGGCTTCTCATCTCTGACTGAACTCTCTCACCCAGAAAGCACAAGTGATGTTTTCAGTTGTTTCAGGCTTGTCCATTGCATCTGCTTTCCTGTCTTTTAGGTATATTGCTATATACCCTTACACTCCTCGAAAAGAAGATGAACTGGAACTACGGAAGGGAGAAATGTTCTTAGTGTTTGAACGCTGTCAAGATGGCTGGTTCAAGGGAACTTCCATGCATACAAGCAAGATTGGTGTTTTTCCTGGAAATTACGTGGCTCCAGTTACAAGGTATGTTTTTGTACAAGTGTCTAAATAGTTTATCTAGTTTCAAGTCCAAAATTACTCTGTTCTTGTATTTAATGATAAAATTAGATAACAGAAGAGCTGTGGGTTTTAGTAACTAGATCATTTTTCAGTTGTGTTTTACTGTTTTCCTTTTAATTTTGGCAGGACAGTGACAAGTGGATCACAATCAAAAGTTCCAATGTCTACTGCTGGTCAAACAGGACGAGTGGTAACTATGGTCAGCCCTCCCACTGCTAGTGGAACATCTCAGAAGCTCCAGGGGAATGGTGTGGCAGTGAACTCCAGCACAGTACCCACAGCTGTCGTTTCTGCAGCACATATTCAAACGAGTCCACAAACCAAGGTCCTTCTGCACGTGACAGGACAAATGACAGTCAACCAGGCTCGCAATGCAGTTAGAACAGGTAGAAAAACAAATAAAGTTTTTTATGTGTGGTAGACAAACTGTAGGGTCTCTTTGGGCAAGTTGCTAGAGTCAGGGTATGTGTAAATATATGTTGAGTTTTTTTAAGGCATTTTTTGTATATTTTTTTAAAAGTTGAATGGTTTCTGAAATGGCTATTTCTCTCTGAATTGCTGAATCTTATATTATTCTTCTCTAAGAAACTGTGTGTACGTACATACCGCTGCTGTTGGGAATTTATATGCAAGGTGGAATTATTTTATTCCAGCAGTATCTGGGATGGAGGCATTCTTTGAGCTTCTCTGAATCACAGAATATTTAGGAATTGGAAGGGACCTTAAAAGACCATCTAGTCC